ATTCAATGGACCTAGCATCTCCTGAGTACAGTGGCTTATGATTTAAGTATCAATTTTGTAATGTTTTACACTTTTACAGATGATAAGATCTAGGTTAATAATATTATACAGATATGGATATGTTACATATATAGATAATTATTAGTAGCAAACATTCAAGCTGTTCCCCCCCCCCAAAAAAAAACACAGACTTGAATAATAATGTTGGTTACCATTGTTGCTCTTGACTACAACTTACCAAGACAAATGTAGAAATTCCTTTCTCCTTTACTGTTCATAAGTTCTCCTCCCACAACTCTCACTGAGTGAAACACTCAGCTAGCACACAGACATCAACTTGATACCATGTTTCACTCCTAAACATGTCACAGTAGGGAAGGAAAATGCATTATGATTTCCAATTCAAGTTGATGTGAAAGTGAAATACTTTGTTAAATTAAACTGAGCAAAAGTAAATTTTCTATGATTTAATTATACTCAAATAGTAAAATTTCAGGAATAAACATAGGTACTGTAATAAGACTAGTTGTGATTTGTTACTTATCTCCTCTGATAGTCCATGATCACAGTTATACACTAAACATTCAACACATAAACAAAAAGGCTTTATTAGTTTAACTTTTGAAGAGTTATGGCAACGGAACATCAAATTACCAATAGTTTGATACGACTATATAATGTTGCAACAATAATATGAAGTGACGTCCTAAGCCAGCGAACAAACAAGTCCTTAGAGCCTATTGGTAATTCCGGAATTACAATCTCTCTTAAAGAATGGGAAGGAGTGACAGATAGGAAAGAGATAAGGCTTGTGGTGGGATGTCGGGGTGAACCAGAAGGGCAACCTTGTGAACACAGGATTAGAAAGATGAGACTGTTCAACCTTGGCCTTTCTCTACCTTTCTTTGCCATCTCTACGCCTACTGTCAAAAGACGTTCTCCATTTTTTATTGTCCTTCAATGTTCAGCCTACTGTACGAGTGTGAGGGCTTTGCAAGCTATCAATTATGTGATTATGTAAAAGACATTCGGTTTAAATCTTTTGTTGTGCCAGATAATCCACCTGATATATCTCAAAAGTTTTAAAGTAACTTGAGTTCAAAGTGCGATCTTGGTTATTTGGGCCTACAGACACTCCCCAAGATCATTACGATAACAATAGATCATCCATAAAAACACATTGTGCCACAAGTCACACACTGGTGCAAAAAACCAAGCCAAACACACAAACAAACAATGAGGGGATCCTTCAACAGTTTGAATTACTCATTTGGCAAAGGTTGTCAAGAGGTTGATAATGTTGCACAATGTCTCTGAAAGAGGTTTACCAAGCATAACGAGTTATTGGTAGTACATGAAAAATCTTTCTGAACATAATTTAAAATTTTAAAAAGTAACATGCATAGCCATCCCAGTTGTATTATTTGAACAAAAATACAAGTCACTTTTTCACAATTTTGTCCATTTTAATAGTCCATTACCAGTACATCATACAGTTTACGCATAATCCAGTCTATTTAAGATTACTTTACGATTTACGCAGTTTGAGGAATTGAATAAATGAATTATTGGCATGTGGTGCGCACAAAGTTAACTGGTTGGGTCCCATTACTTGTTAGATACATTAGCCTTGCAGCTCGAGTGCAAAACTAAAGAAATTTGAGACACCACACATGTCTTGGCTCATTGACAAGTTACTAACAAACATTTAATAACAATGGGATTGAAAATGAAGACTTATGCAGTTGCAATTAATAAGCTAAACTGTACATCACAGGAATCACAGAAACCACAGGGTGTGGCTTTATTTAGGTTGTGAAATATAGCTAGTGGTGTTGAACTGTAGGGCTTAGGGCCATCAATGTTAGCTCCAACCCCAAATGTTAAGGTAAATTAGGAAGATTGAAGAAAAATGTGCATTGTTTAGTCATGAGACTCCTGCAAGCACTCTAAAAAGCATGTTAATATTAGCAGCAAGTAATGAGAGATTCGAGGGCAGATTTGAAAGTGTTTAACATTTTTTTCAGGATTAGAACACGATTGCATGTTTGCTGTTGTTCCCCATGGAGAGCGTTGGCCAATTTGGTGCACAGCAGAGCACTAGTGGATAGGCGGAACTCTTTGTAACATATACATAAATTAATCCATACATACATGTCTTCTCTTTAATCCTTACTGACCTGTACCTGCGTGAACATGTGGCTGAGTGAAATTTATGTAGAATTTAGTTGAATTGAGGTCTGTTAGGTCTAATGCTTAAAGTGACTATGGAATTTTCTTTCATTCTTGTCCCATTATTTTGTAGTGCCGAGTCTTTGGCTGATTAAAAGCTATTTAAGCCGGAAACTGGCAAGGCTTCCCTGGACTTGCTGTTCCTTGGGTCAGGTGACATGACCTCTGTGGAAGAGCGTTTTAACCTGAACACGCACACTTTAGGGAGTGGACTGAAGATAAAGGCGTTCTGGTTGCGCTCTGCTGCCCACCAGTCTTCCAGGAACTCTCTCCTATTGCTCACGCTCTGTTGCTCCTGTAGAACGCTTTGTCCAGCAGGAATTTCAGCCAGGTCATGTGACCAAAGCAGCAGCCATTCAAAGGGCAGGAATGGCATGAGGTCATCTTTAGGCAGCAGGCCTATTGTTTTAGAAGGGTAGTGAGTGGGCAGTTTGGGGGCGTACTGTCTGGCGCTAGGTGTCATACGAGCCCATCTCAGGGCGGCAGGTAAAGTTTATGTGGAAGGTGCTTGCGGCTGGGAGAGGCTGGGTCAGGTGGGCGTTGGAAACATTCCTTTGCAATCCCACTTTTCAATGACCATCTAATAGTTTCACCGACATAAAGACGACGAAACGCTTCCATGCAAAGAGGCAGGTTTCCGGAAGGATCATATTTCTATAATCTCCACTCGCACTTTCCACAAATGGCCGACACACACACATATGCACATGTATTTATGCAGAAACTGGGGAGATGTTCATTTTTGTTAAAATATTTTATTCTTTAAAAGTAAAATTTTTTGATGGTATTATTCACACTATGTGGAGTGGAGGGGCACTGACATCTCAGGGAGCCATCAGGTCTGCTTCATCTTCTCCCTTTTAGTTAGGCTGTAATAGGCCTGCCGGAGTCATTGGTGCACTCTATTAACACTATTTCTTGTTCTCAGTCATTCTTGACAGAATTAACTGTCTGTGTGTTTCTTTGCTGAGCTGAACAACTGCCCATCCTGTGCAGTCTGATGCACTTGTTTCATCTGCCTCAATCAGGTGCCTAGCCTGCGTTCTGGACCAGTTTGATAACCATGGAGCTTCCTGCTGTACAATGCTGTGCAGGAAGCCTTACCTGCATGCTACTGGCAATCCTGATGATACTGCTGCTGCACAGACTCAAACTATTTACTTATAAACATTGCTTCACCTGCCTCACAAACTATTTAATCATAGACATTGTTTTTCCTGCCTCACAATACTCTGAGCTTTCCTCATTTTCGCTCTGAAAGATCATCATTGTAGGCTTCTAACAGTAGTCATTGACATGACTGTGGTCCTTATTTGGCAATGCAAGGTTGGAGTTTCTTTTTTGTTACCAGCTGAGTTCACCTAAGACCTGTCTAGTGATATCATGGATGCTCACGGAAAAAAAAACCTTGATTCATGAACCTTTGATTCATGCAACTAAGCAAAATTCAAAAGTTGGGTTCCAATTACTTTCTCCATCATGTTCTAAACTGCATCTTAAATAGTGAGTATAACTGTTTCATTTACTTTAACTGTTTAATGTTAGTATATTGTAAAAAAAAATGTGGGTCATGCAAATACATTTTTTAGATGTTTATATGTTTTAGATCTAAAAAATTGTAAACTTTTTTGATCTAACATAACTTTTTAATTAGGAAATATCTGAATACAGGAATACCACATAAAATCTCAATTTTGCAAAGAATAATTTTGGAAACTGACTGGAAGCTTAAGTTTCAAACATGAAACCGATCACACTCAGTCATTCTCAGTTAACTGCAATGAAATATGATTAATAACCTATTTCGAAATTCATAACTAACAAAAATCTTTTTTTTTAACAAAATTTTGAAATCTTGTGTGGTGAATAAAGTAAATAAAAGTTTTGCTTTTAAATGCGTGGGAGTTGAGTGATAGCAAATCTTAAAACTTACAAACATAATTTTGAAGCATTTGACTAACGTTGTATTTTTTGATCACATCATTATTTCAGACACTAAAGTATATTTTTACAAAGGCAGTGTCCTGAATCTGACCCTGCAAATCTGTAGTTTCCAAAGAAGAACCTTAAAAAAATGACCTACGTAACCTCTTCTTAGCCTGAACTGTTGGTCGCCAACCCACCAATGCTTTACAGCATCCCACTGTAATGAGAGATAGCTGCAGGTGGCAGTTAAAATTACACATTCAGATGTTTCTTGTAAATATTAAAAATGCCCAAATGTGTTATATCTTTGTGTTATGCAATGAAAATTATATTAGTCTACTTCATTACAAAAGTTTTGCCATGTGTCCCTATTTTTAAACAAATTGATATTTGTTTTACATCTTCAGAAAAGAACTTTAACATGTTAACAAGTTCAGTGAAAGAGCAAATATTATTCAAATTCACTTTTGATTCTGAATTTCAAAATGTATTTATACTGTACTTTAGAATTAGCAGTCTACTTAAGTGAAATCAGACCTCAGTTTTGCCTTTTATATGCTTTTTGACAATTGGTGTAGTCTTTTAACCCTTTATGACCTATTATGCATTATTAAGCTTGTGACTTCTTAGTAACTTAAGGATTAAGCACTTATGGTACTATACTATAAGAGATTATAAAATCATAATTTTGAAAGAAGGTTAATACTTTGCTAAGGGGCTGGGAGCTAGACAATGAAAAACCGAAAGCGTTTTGATAGGGAGGATAGGGAGGGTTAGTAAACTTGTGGAAAGTGGAAGTGGAGTTTGGGGTAGCAGAGTCAACTGGCAGCACTTTGATCCGCATGGCGGCAGGTTCGTCTATGGGGGAGCCACACGCGTCCTGCTGAAACCAATATGGCCTTCTTCCTCACACACAAAAGGAGGGCGTTTAGGGCAGTTGTGTGTGTCTGCAGTACGCTTGGGCCCAGCAGGGAGCCAGTGTGGCAGGACCAGGCTCAGGGCCGTGGTGGCTGTAGCGGGCTACAGAGCGGGAGAGAGCGTCGGGCTTAATTGGCAGTGTAGGCTCTGCTGGAGACCATTGTTCAAGTAAAAGAGGCTTAGCATGGCAGCGCGCAGGCCGGCCACTGAGTCAGCCTCTCCACGCGTCTGGAGTGTAATCGTGATGTGGGGGATGTGATTTTCTTTGAGGGGGAGGGTGTTAATAATGAGATAGGGTTTAAAGAAAGGGGAGGGCAGGAGGGGCGAGAGGAGGACCCCTGTGAAGAAGTCAAAAAGCGATGCTGACTTTGTTTTGACATCGAAATGATGCATGTAATTCACAGTCATTGGGCCTGTAGGACCATCATTATTGAAGAGATGTGTGAAATCCTAGCTGGCATGCAAAAGGTTTGTACTTTTTGGGCTTTTCTGACTGTTTGAACTTTCATTGAGAATGTCATGATAATAGCAAAGTATAAAATCACTGTTTTAGCAAAACCAAAAATGTCCAAAATGCAAACTATAAAAAAAAGAAACATTTTGGACTTTCTTTTTCTATTGGTCCATTCAAAATGATATAATGTTCATACACAGTAAAGGGTGATGTAAAACAATTGATGTAAAACAAACAAGCAAACAAAAAAAGAAGAAATTTTTCTGAGGTTTCAACATGACAGCAATAATGATATTTCTCATTCAATACTAACATTTTGCTTATTCATATGACAAACGACTAACAATAATTAATAAATGCCAACAGAACTTGCAATCTTGATAGCAAAGCAACTCGCACATAAATACAAACACGAACACATCATACATAATGAATAAAGATTCTGATTATGAACACAGCACACATTTCCACGCACGCACACACATGCACCTTCCCTCGGCCTTTAACAAGTTCATGTAGCTCTTAACAAACTCAGCAACAGGTTGCAGGCCCCCAGTGAGTGTGGGTTGTTGGCCAACAAACCCCGAACAGCCCCGGCTGGTCATTAGGGCTCTCTGTGGGGGTGTTTAGGGGAAAAAGAGGCCAGGCTGCAGGACAGCTGGGCCGGGGCGCGGGGTTGGACGCCCAGGTATCTCCACCTGTACTCTCATTACCAGCCCTGAGTGCAAGCAATTAACTGCCCAACTGCTCCAAGGAGGGAGCAGGGAGGCTACGGCGGGAGATGAAGAGTGTGTGTGTGTGTGTGTGTGTGTGTGTGTGTGTGTGTGTGTGTCAGTGAGCTAGTTCATATCGATATAAATAATTTGTGGATTTACTGCAATTGCCTGCTCTTTGAAGCTAACACATAATATGCATTCTATGGGTGATGGAAGTGTGTGTTTGTGTGTATATGTGTTTGTGCTCATTTCTCAGGCCTCCAGATACCTGCAGTGATCAAGCAGACACAGGGAGTGAACAGGATGGTCAGAGAGCAAAACAGGACTTCTCACTCACCCTCTGTCACTCATGAACACACAGATGTGTTCATGCTAAATATACTGAATGTGTCACACCTGCTTTAACATGCAATAACATGCAGTACAAATCACTGAGAGAAAAAGTTGGAATGTTCCAGTGAACTGAAATGAATGTATAAACCTAAAACAGTGATTAAGCTCATGTCTAAACCGTATAAATTGACTTACTATGACCGATTAAAGGACAGCCTTTAGTGGAAATTTTCATAGATACATAAACTTCAGTGAGACTTAATATCGGCAGACAAGCCCATACCTACACAGTCAGAAAAAAAGGTACTGTGCAGGTACATTTTTGTTTATCAAGGTACAATGTAAATGTACCCTCAAAAGGTACAGCAATAGTTTTAAGGTCCAATTGTGTACCTTACATATGTTTTTCCTAGGAGAAAGGTACATAGTTGTACCTTTTCATAACCTAATGTTTTAAAACAGAACAATAAATTAAAAAGCCTGGAGTGTAGACAAAGTGTATGGAGTACAACTTGAACAATCATTTATAGATAGATGTCCATGCACACAAATAGTGAGAGATAAACATGTAAAGAGTATATGCAAAAGTAAGTAAACTGACATTTGCTGTTCAGTTAACTTTTCATACTAGTTTGTTCATATGCATTTCTTCACATTTTTAGTCATAACATGCTTGTTCCCCCACTCTCAGACTTACACATTCACAGACAGGGATAAAACATATGTAGGCAGTGGAACAGGCCTTAAAATCAGACAGATTGACAGACAGGCAGGCTGCCTGTTTGGCAGACAGTGAGGGAGTTAGCTGGAGCATTAGGGAAGGTGGAGAGTGAACAACTGCCATTCATATCACAATGGGGAACCTGACAAACAGCTCTGCCCTTAATTACCCAAGCTGCCATTTCTGCCTTTAATTAAAGCAGCTCTTTAAAGGCTGAATGGGACAGACACACAAACTATACAGAATAAGAATAAACTCCTGATGAAGACTTTTGCCAAAATTCTGCACAAATGCTTTTTACATTTTAGAGCTGAAGCTATTTGCAAATTATTTAAGGTTCTATTTAATATGCACACACAACTCTACACCCACTCAAACATCTTAACTCTTGATTTAGCCTTAGGGACAAGAGGACAAAAGAACACTTAGGACGGTTAAACTTAACCTGTCGATAATGAATGTTAACGTATTAACGTTAACGTAGTCTGACCCTTTGAACCATCCATTGTATTGAAGGATGAGGTCTGAACCCCAGCTGTTAATGTATGTTGCTATGATAGAATCCTCTCCTTCAATTTTTTTAAAATGGCTTTTAAGTGAAATACTTTCAGCACCATGGACAGACTACTGCAGACAGTGCTCTAAGAATCTACGGTAAAATCAACAAGCAGCAAACTGATCGACAGCAAAGTGGAAAGTTGCAGTTGTCCTCCATTGTAACAAGAATTCATGTATGAATGAGAACCACTGATTTTGTATCTACTATATACTCTCATTGCAGTAATTTTAAATGATTACTCATAGATCTTTCATCACCACCTCCTAACACACCCACAAAAACCACCCACACACACACACACACACACACAGTGTATAGAGAGAGCGGTGTCAGGTGAAAAGAGGGAGAACTCTAAGCTCTTTAATTGTGTGTTAGAGTGAGGTGCAATAAACACTAACACCCACGTCTCTCCTGCCTCTCGAGCTTCTCCTGTTCTTCTGTTGCTCTTCGCCCTTTTTGTCTGTGCAGCCACCCCCACGACCCTTCACAAAGTCACTCTAACCCTGCAATTACCACCTGCAGAACCCTGCACATACAAGCACACATACATATTGTCATCTTCATATCAAAACCTTATTTCTCCAAAATGGTATCCCAAAAAAAAAATTAGTTTAATAGTTGTAATGTACATTAGCATAATGAGAGCTTGCCATTTTAAGACTGTGTTAAAAAACTTGACAAATCCTGGAAATCACACTCACTCACACCCAAATAAAAACAAAACAGGTTTGCAGGATGTCTCCTACCCCAGGTTCAGACAGAGACAGATAGAGAGATAGAGAGTAAGTTGTGCAAGAAGACCAAATGAGTGTGTTTGTGTGTGGGGCAGGGGGTAATAAGTTATCTCTGGTTTTCCTGCACACCTACAATCCAGTGCACACTTGTTTTTTATGCCATTTTAGGATATGCAGTCATACACACAGACACTGGTGCAAATTTAGGGGGTACAGTAGGAGACATGTACCCTCCACTTTTTGAAATAATCAGCATCGTGGAATGGTTGCTGAAAAAAAATGCACAGGTGAATTACAAAAGAGCTGTCGGATATCATTATATTAATTACAGTTTAAAACTGCAATTAAACTCTAAATAGGTTATTGTTTCATTTAGTCATATTTCTAGTGTTGTACATTGCTTAATAACACAGTTTCTGAATAATGTAAAGACAAGAAATGGTTTGGCATATAAATTATACATTTTGTAAAACTTAACTGATGCAATATATTCTTCAGGAGGGACTTCAGAAGATTACTATTTTTGTGCTATAGCAAGAAGATGTCTGCTATCAGTAGAGGTGAACGATATGGCAAAAATTCAATGTTGTGATACTTTCAAGATACACAATATATTACAATGTTTATTATTTCAGATATGTGATTAGTTGGAACAGAGAAAGAAGAACCAGTAGTGCTACACTTTTAAAAATAATATGACGAACTGTAAATCTTATGATTTTTTTATTCAATGTTCGGCACACTGTGCTGCACTAAATCCAAGTTGGTCAGTGTTCTACAAGTGCTGATGACATCCACAATATGTTCAGAAAAGCATACTGTATTGTATTGTCACATAAATGACCACAGTAATGATATATATTGTCATACTGCCCAACTCTAGCTATCAGTAATTAAAAAATGTCTTTGCCCTTTCACTTAAAAAAAAAGAAATACATCTTGCGTAACAAAAAAACTTTACAAAGTCAGGACCATTTTGTTGATCCTGTAGGTCAGCCCTGTTTTTCTCTGAATTTTATACAATGTCGGGAGAGAGAGAGAGAGAGAGAGAGAGAGAGAGAGAGAGAGAGGGAGAGAGAGAGAGAGAGAGAGTGAGAGAGAGAGAGAGAGAGAGAGAGAGAGAGAGAGAGAGAGAGAGAGAGAGAGTAAAAAGCCTTATCACTTGGTCAAGTTCAGCTCAAAAGGGAGTGGGGAAAAAAACACAATTACCCCAATAAACAGGGCATTTAAAATCCCATTTTGCAATCAATTTACATATATCTACATAACTACCAACGGAACTCTGCAGCTTTATTGCACTTCATTTCAGCACTGAGATGATTGAGAAACCTGGATGCACGGAGACTCAGTGGCACATTTTGCACTGTTTTGTTTAGAGGGTCTTGACTGTTAAGCCACCTTTGACCTTCTAATTTTGTACTTCTACTTGAGTACTTTTACTTTCTACCTTTTACATAAGTCATTACTTCATGACATAACACTTCTTTTACCTGAGTAAGATTTAGCCTACTCACCTCTACTTCAATCAGTAAATTTAAAGCACCATTTTTTACACTACCTTAAAAACTCTGCTCTACAAAAAGCAAAAGCTCTGTCATGTTACTTCTGCACAAAAAAGTAATGTTAATGTGTCACTCGTAGGAATGCACGTTTTGTTTTAGCTCTGTGTTTGGGGGTGGCTATAAGCATGTCTACCCCTCACTCATTTGCTCAAATGAATTCATTGTGCTTCTGAACCATCCGTTACACATTAATACCCATCAGTATGCACACATACACACAGACACTGTAAATTTCAATTTCTTGACTTTACTTCATCATGCAAACATAAAAGTCTTGAAAAAGTTACTTAACAAGTTTAAGCTTAAATAACTTTATATGAGTTATAGTTACTTTCTAATTTTCAGTGATCCACACTTCTGCAGCAACTGAAGTTAACTCAAACAGACTAATAAACATAAATGGTTTCCACTGAGCTGGCACTAGTTTTTCAGGTTCTGCTTACTCTTGAATTAGTTAGGTTAACTTGAATCAAATATTCTTCCATATATAATGTATTGGCATCATTTTAAACAGGTCAATTATATAAAATGGACTGATTTGACATTAACAAATAAATGCATAGAATGCATAAAAATGACTAGAATCATCCAATTCTGAGGATTTTAACATGTTAACAAATATTTACCATTCTGTTAGCATTCAAGGTGTTAAGCTCATAACAAAAACAAGTAAAATGCATCCAAACTTCATATTTAATATGAGAGTTTTCTATGGCACAAAAATAGCATTTTGCAAAGAGAATTATATTTAGAAATTAGAAATCTAAAAGTTAATTAACAGAAACCAACACAACGTTAAGACTGCTGGTTAGCTAGAAGGGGAATTCCACCAATTTTTCAAAATTTCTTTAGAATTAGATGTTTAAGATGTTTACAAAATCATTCATTGTGGTTTGATGAGAAATGCAGTGTTCTAGAGAATGTTACCAAGTCAGAACAGTTCACAGTGGTGTGGATAGGAACCAGGTGTCTGAAGAGTTTAATACCTCTAAAATCTCCCTCACAGAAAGTTATGACATGAGATGATTATAAAATACACCGCTGAGATATTGTATGCCTGAGATATTGTTTTATGTTAGTTTTAAGATACGTTTTTACAAGTAGTACTTTTACATAGTCTTCGAAAAAAACTACAGCTCAACAACTGAATAATACTGAAATTTTGAAAAATCTGTGGAATTTCCCTTTATGGCCATTTACCTACGGAAACTACGGATTATACAAGAAATAGCAAGTGTTAGATTATGTTTATATTAGATTATTAGATATGTCTTAGTATTTTAATTAAATAGAAAACCACAAAAAAATAGCAATTTTAGCAATTATTACACACACACACACACACACACGCGCGCGCGCGCGGTAACGGTAATACACAGATGCGCAGCCAGGGTCGCAACCTGGTGTCTTTCCATTTTCACATTATGCAGTGCGAGCACTCCCCCCACGGCAACGTGACTCTGTACCACAGTCACAGGACGTTCCATCATTAAAGCGTAGCCCATTCGCGTAAGCGAAAGAAAGTGCATCTCAGCACCACCGGCCAGCTGTTGCGCATCTGGGGCCCAACGGCAAGAAAAAAAAAGAGCACGTCACAAGTGTGCCGAATCAGAGGACAGCCTTCAGATTGGCGCGCGCTCCGGGCAGCTCCCGGCACTCCTCTCGCGCCGCAGCTCGCGCCCAGCTCGTGCCATCCTGGCCCGCGAAATGGTGAGCACTCTATTTTCTTTTACATACGGAAAAGAATAGTTCAGCCTGTAACTTTGACTATAACCAGATCGCTCAGGGCTGAGAGATGCATAAAGCACCGGCTTTTACGCGCACCTGCTTTAATTCAAACGGTTTCCATTCTATAGACTGTTGCAGGAAGGTTTTTCAAACGCAGGAGGAAATGTGTGTACTGGGTTGAACGTTAAATGCTTAGAACCGAACGAAGGTTTGTATAATTATTGGATTTGCATGTTATAATGAAGGGTGGAACGGGTGGTAGCAATGAAGGGGCTGGATTTCATTTTCTTCGAGTTTTCATTTTTTATGTAACCTATACTCTTAAAAATATGGTTTTCAAGGCTCCTTTAGTAAAAGGAATGGTTCTATTTAGAGCCATGAGTTCTATATAGAACCATTTCGTACCTAAATGGTTCTTTGCATGGTGAAATGCTTCTTCCGAGTGATGCAGAACGTGTTGTATATGGTTCTATACAGAACCTTTTTAAAAATGCTTCTATACAGCACCAAAAAGGGTTCTGCTAGTGTTAGGATTTCAAGCTTGTAACAATAACATTTTGGTGCTATATAGAACCATTTTCAAAAAGGTTCTATATACAACCACGTGCAATACTCGGCTGAGGAGCTGAGAGAGAGAGACAGACAGACAGAGAGAGAGAGAGAGAGAGAGAGAGAGAGAGAGAGAGAGAGAGAGAGAGAGAGAGAGAGATTGTAGAAGTTTGACGGTTTTCTTTCTTTTTTGTAACGTTGGTTCTCAGCATACTTACAACTGCACCAGTGATTGCGTGCAATGCGTTACGAGTTATTTAGTTGTACTGTTTGCACCGCAAAGGCATAACTTTGCAGGTAAAAGCAGAGAATTGGAATGGAAACACATTAAAGTTGTGTTAAAGTTGTGCATGCTGTGAAACCGCCATTAACCGACTGTGTGCTGAATGTGCTTGAAGCGCTTTTGTTCGGCGAGCTCACGCTCACAGTGCTGCGCTTTTGCCCGGTTCACAGAGCGCCATCCTCTCGTGCCAGGACGCGGGCTTTGCAGGGGGCGTGCGCTACGCCTGCGCTTACACCTCCTCTCCGCCGCCTCGCGCCACTGTTGACGTTTCCACAGCAACGCTCGCACCCCTCTGGGACGCCGGTGCCCTGGACAACGCGGGCTGCCAGCACGAGCCGCCACGGCCGGGTAAGAACCGCGCTGTGCCGGGATCAGCGGCGCGAGCCTTCCCGACACTGACAAACCGGAATGTTTCCATTTGTTTTGTTTTTTTTTTTGCCCTTCTTCTTCTTAAAGGGGAACTCCACTGATTTTTCAAAATTTCTACATTATTAAATGGTTGAGATGGAACCGAAGACATCCAGAGTGGTTTGATGTGAAAGGCCCTGTTCAGGAGAAACTCAAAATTGTCAAAATTGTTCACCAGATGTCCACCTCTAAAAGCTCCCTCACAGAAAGTTATTACATGAAATGGTTTTATTTATGCTGCCTGATGTCTGACACAATGTTTTATGAGAGTTCTATGATGTTTTGGCTTAAACTAAGGGCGTTGTGAGGCAAAAATAGTCCCCAAAGAAAACTTTTTTCTGATTTATGACTTTTTTTTATCATTTTATCATTTATAATCAACATTATATGTAAGTCCTTAAAATGATTTAAAAATACATAGAATAAAACTATATACAGGGTGTTGTAAGGCAAAATACATACATATAAAAGTCAAAAGCCACATGCAGGTTCACTGGTGGTTTTGGATAGTGAATAAAATGGTTATATTTGTGATGCAGACATTGTGTCCCCTGGTTCATATCACCACCACTGTAAAGAAATCTGCACCTGTAAGTTTCTTTACAATGAACCATTTCACATCAAACCACTCTGAATGAATCTGTTTATATTTCAAAGGACTAAAAGTTGGTGGAATTATCCTTTAGGCTTTGCTGGAGTTCATTTCTATTTTGTGCTCCAGGACTGTGGAGGAGCTGTATGTAGTCCAGCCTATTCACTCTAATAGCCCGATAGATAAATAAATTAGCACTTTTTGGTTATATACATTTGTTCTACAAAAAATAACTGTAATGCAGTCTTTTAATTTCACTTTCTTTCAATTCTCTCTCTTTCTACATTTACATTGACAAGCCTATTCATTTCAAGTTAAATGAACTCATTCATGTCCAACAACTAAATTTAGTATGATAAGGAAAAAAGGCACAGAACTTGTTCTGAATAGATGAAATTTTGTAGTTATACCTCGGATGACCTCCTAACAGCACCATTTTTTAATTATATGTCATGGATGTCTGGACGTTCAAAAAATTGCAGTCCCATGTGACAAAAAACAAGATGTGATAAAATAAAATGTATGTATGTGATGTAACAAAGTGATAAAACAAAGTGATAAAACTTTACTTTTAGCCACATTGAAATTTTTCTTTAGATTTGGGCTTGGGCAAGTTCAGGGAACATATGGGCCAAAGAAAATTTAAAATTTCAGATATTGACATTAATGGGTTAATTCATTTTTCACTTTTGCTGTATAGTCACTTATTCTTTATAGATGGTTCAACCATCTTTATAGACGGTTATGTAGCCCAGTCTGTTCATTTCACTAGGCCTATTTAAGGATTAAACTCCTGCCCTTCCACTCTTCCTTTTATAGACGGTTTTTCAATGAACACCATATTAAATAACTAACCTACATATGTTTGCTTTTTCTAGACCCACAGCTTGGTTCTGTGCATACTGTTCTACATGACTCCACCTGGCCTGACCAACTGTCTCCTCACCTCCAAAGGAACAAACAGGTACACACTGCAGCAGAGTCATGGCAATACACTTCAACAGAAGCTTAAGAGTGAATCCTCATGCTAATGTCCAGATTTTCCATCTATACATAGCTCCAAGACACACTAATGCAGAAGGAGGAGGAACTGGCAAGATTACAGGAAGAGAATAACAAACTCAAAGAGTTTTTGAACTCATCATACGTAAAGTCTCTTGCAGAAAAGTCAAAGGTAAAATGTATTTGACAATTTACTTAAATTTGTCATTGACCTATCTACGCTCCACTTACAAATGCATTCTTTGGCAGCTTTACTGAACACTGGCAAAAATCCCTTTCAATTTTATGAGCAACTGTAGTGCACAATAAAGTTTTGTTGTCAACATGAGTAAATCTAGAGCAGGGATGTTCAATCTTGAACACACCTCACTCCACTTGTTTAATCACTTGGTCTCAGTCTTTAAACAGCTGATCAGGTGGGCTCCTGCTTTGTTAGAATGAAAACTCACAACCATATTGGCCCTTGGTAAACAAGACTGTCGTTCAATATTATATTTTTATTTGACATTATTTGTATTAGGTTCCTCACAATATGAAGCTAGGGATTTCTAAATGTCAGAATGGTAACTGCACATTAGGTTCAAGCTAATTTTAGCTAGCTAACATTAGACAAACTGCTAACATAGGTACAATTAAATTATGCCAGAACTGTCATAAAGGGAAGTACATAGTATAATGTGTAATAATATAATGCATAGTGGCACAGGGATAATCAAGAATGAACATTTGTCAGAATTAAATATTATCTTTTTCTGTCATGCAGAGGCTTTTTTCTGCGCAGAGAAACTCAGACACAAGGCAAAGGAAGAGAACTCTACATGAGGAGGGTGATTTCCTTAACCTGAGCCGTTTGCTGCAGGGCGGCAAGAGCAAGCGAGTATGCCGGAACCTCTCTCTGGAGTTCTGCTCGGCTGAGGAGCTGGCTGCCACCCCACGGCTGGACTCCTGGATCCTGGAGACGCTGGGACTACAGGACGAGGACACCATTGACCCAGACGGCAGCTTCAGTAGCCCTACAACTGACCACATACCTTCTTTCAACTCCCCAGCCCCAAGCATTGACCACTTCAGCCCTGCAACACACGACAGCACTACCTGCAGTCCTAATACTAACAACCACCGTGAATATGGCTTAACAGACTCATTAAGCAGCTTCAGCCACAACATGGACACCAGCACAGAGTACTCAACCCTTTACCCTTCACCTCTGTACACTGTCACATCTACAGGGTCACTGGTCACCTCTCTGCCGGCTATTGTTCCTGGACTCTTCACCCCTCCTCGGGCAGCTTCAACTCCTCACCGCTCGCACAGCACAAGCTCAGGGCAGCACTATCATAGCTCACCAGAGAGTGAGGGTATTCTGTTCTCCACACCACGCACAACACGTAGCAGAACAGACTTAGCGTTTAGCATGTCCTTAAGTCCACAGAGCAGTGTAAAGACACACACTTTCCCACAAGGACAGGCATTCACCCGCAGAGACTCGCAAGGTGGGTGGAACTTCACCTGGGTGCCTAAGCAGTGTTCTTAAAATTAATGAAGAACGACAAGTGCTTTTTTTGAAGTTATTATATGTCTTCCAGTGTGTCCTCGATAACAATGATTTACCGACAGGGAACTAATGACGTGCTGATATGAATCAATCATACCTTAAAACCACATTGTTGGTTGTGTGAGGCAAATGTGTTTAGAGTGTGCTTTGATTGAACTGTGATTGACAGAGTCTTTGTCTGTTCTGTTAGGTGCTAGGCTAAAGTTTAATTATCAATAAACAATCAATCAAGTAAATCATGTTCATCTTCATTTGTTGTAGGAAACTCTGCAAATGGTTAAAAAACGGTATCCCAATATCAAGCAGGCTTCATAGTGATTAAGCACGATTTATCATATCATAGCATTTGAAAAACAAAACTCGTTGTTTTCCTATCATCTTTGATCAAATGACTTTTGCCCACCTCTAGACTATCTTTTGATTTTTGGCTCACCATGTACTAGTGTGTGGATAAAAATAATATTAACCAATAATAATTTTAATAAAAATAATATTAACCAATAATATTACCTCCTACTGCTTTACATGCAACAAAAAAGCTACTAAGTAACTGTCAAGAAGTGCAAAACTTATTTGTTATGAATGCCAACTCTTAAAACCTTAACTCAATCATATCTACAACAATTTTGTTTTATTTAAGAAAGAACAACCTCTGCTATGCTCTCAGAGCAGATGCCTATTCTTCTCTGATACACCTACCTCAGGTTAACTCTAACCTGTCATTTCTCCTTCACACCTGTCCCTCTCCGTCCCTCCCTTCCCTTGCTCTTTCCCCTCCCACTCCTTTTCTCTCCATCAAATCCTTCACTGTTTCTCCCGCCCCTGCAAGACAAAGGAAGGGGGGTGTTATGTCTCAGGGGACGTTCCCTTCCTGATCTGTCCTGTAGGTCTGAGATGGGCTGCACCCCCCCGGGGGGGTTTACCTGGGATGCTTCCACCCCTCCTTCCCTCCCTTGCTCAGCCTGGTGCTACCCATTCCTCCCCCAAGGGAGCCGGGAATGGCAGGGAAAGTTGGGGCGCCAAAGCTAGCCATGGTGGAGTCAAATGGGTGGTCTATAGTTAATGACACGGTTAAGCCCCCTGCAGATGCCCACCAGATTGAAAGGGAGAGGGAGAGAACAGGTTGGGGTGTTGCAAGAGTCTGGCAAATAACGGGTAACATACACACACACACACACACACACACACAGAGAGAGAGAGAGAGAGAGAGAGAGAGAGAAATGGAACCCACAAGAAATTAACCCACTACCCTTACCTGGTCATAAATGGGTCATTAGATAAGCTGAAACTTAATCCTCAGCCCTCAGTGTTCTCTCCCATTACATCTTATTATTATGTTTTCAACAATTTACAGTTAGATGTTAGCTAAAGTGTTGTAGTGGTGTCTAAAAATGGGCATCTTGCTTTGATCCCTGAAAGTACTTACTTTTCCAAAGGTATTACCTTCTCTTCAGTTCAATCCCATTTTTAATTCAATTCGATTCAAATTTATTTGTACAGTGTCTTTTCCACCAATGCTGTCACAAAGCAGTTTTATAGAAATCTGGCTCCATGTCTATTATGCAACAGTGTGTGGACAACAACTTTTACAAGCCCTGATTAGTGGTTTCCAGACTTCTCCAGAAAGGTCAAACATCAATTACTCCTGCCAACAATATGCACATGAAATAAATCCAGATGAAACAAAGATCTTGATTGATTTATTGATAATTGTTATCAATCAAGACCAGTAAGTATCCAGATAGATGTTTGCAGTCATGGAAAGAGATTACCAGTCAAACATCAGCCAAGGCCAGGGCTGGGGGACACCAAAAAATACAGTGAAAAAGAAAGCAAAATTCTCATGTATAATTCTTATTTCCAAAGACAGTGTATAGACAGAAGTCCCACCTAATACTCATCTATGCAGCAATCTCTGTTACTTATCTTTAAGCATGATTTATAGTGTGTTGTGTACTTACGGAGTGCTGTGCAATCCAAATGTTCCCTTTAATTTAGAGTTCATTCTTGAGTACAGTCAAAAAGATTGCACTGGATTACGAAGTAAATTAGGAAAAGTATAACATTAACAATGGATCCAACCAGTCTATGCACACACACACATGGCTGCAGGTTCGCGGTAAAACAACATTTGCAGATATGCACTCACATGCACACACAAACACTTATTTGACAGCTATTTATTAACTCTTAATGACATGTAAGAATGGATCCACATAATCCCTGCAGACCCCCTGCTATCACTCATCAACTCAACATCATTACCATCAAATCAGTCACCCAGAGTGCAGCTCCTAGTACCATCATACTGTACTTACTGTTAATAGCACACTACCTCTGTCTCCTCTGACTACTTAAACATAGACAGTATGTCAATGCTGGAGCCAAACACTGCAATCCCCTGCACAGTTGATTAGTTGCATTAGTATTGCAAGTATTCTATTATTATAATTCTATAAATGCACTGGTGAAAGAATAATGCGACATGGCTAAAGAATGGCCTGCATTATTTTAACTAAAATACTTTTGTTGGATTACATGAAAATCTGTCATAACACTCACAGAAACATTCTTCTGGATCTGTGATTGAGCAAGGTACTTACAGCACAGTTTTAAACATTATAATTGGTTAGAGGGCCTTCTGTAATAACAAATTCGCAAAGGCCATTGTACATTGTACATCTCTAGTACAAACTTGTTTAAAGTCAACATGAATCATGTACCATGACTAAAAAAGAAACAAACAAGAATTTTGGCGACAATGTGACAAACTCTGCTTCATACAACAAAGAACTTTTAAGGTAAAAAGGTACATTTTGATTTTGGGTTATTTTTAAACTCAACCACAATGCCTACAGCACACCCTCTTTCATTTTCTTTCATTATTCACAGCAAAGTCTGGTCTACTTGAAAATGTTCAATGTACATTAAAACACTCTTGCCTGCTAAAACACCTCTTTCAAGCGATGCAATAGAAGAACCATTTTTGCAACCTTCCAATGGATAGTTCTTATAAGAACCATTTCTATAAATGAGATGTGTGAAAGCAAATAACTTTTTTAAAGTGTGAAGGATCTCCAGATAATGTAAAGGTTTTATACCAAGATTTGTCTTCCCCTAGATCTCTATGCACAAGTCAATAACCATTTAGGAACCTCTTTTTTTAAGAAAGTAGATGCCTGGCTACTTTCCTGCCATCCCTCCCTCACCATGGCAACTTTAAGCTGCAACTTAAGTGTATGAAGAAAATCTTTATAAATGAAGTGTTAAAGTTTGACCAGACAGTGTGTGTGTCTCTAATTAAGAGTGCCCTCTTACCAGCTTCCTTAATTGGTCTGGAGTAATACGTCATGTATAAGCCAGTGTGTGCAATGAAATTCAGGCCGTTGTTTGGTTTAATGGTTAATGTGTGTCTATGGTAGTGAGGCTAGAGTACTGACACACAACCGCACACAAACACATGCTGGGCCTTACTGCATCAAGTATGATGTACATACCCTTCAGTGTAAGTTATTCCCCAGCAGTTATGTTAGAAAATAAATATAGTCCAAATTAGGCAGGAAAAACTCTTTTTAAACTTTGGAAAGAAACTAAATGGTTAAAGTATTGAAATTGCCCAACAGAAAAATGTCCAATAAGATATTTTTAAATCTGTGTAGTATATATGTAGATTACAGCCAAGCTATCTCTCTCATTGGTTATGACCTCTGTCCTCCTCTAGAGATATATACATAGACATATAAGGAAACCAATATATGTATACATATACAGACCATGTAATCAAAGTAATCAAGCTAGTTAGCCAGACAGCTAACTAACACTAGCTACCGTTACTGATTTAAAAAGGTCAAACAAAACTAAGGCGCTATGAACTTGAAGTTTATAATGTCGTGACAGCGCTTTGTGCTGTTTTTTCAAAGTGTCACGGCTCCCCACTTTCAGTTTCATTTCCCAGACACTTTGGCTAAGCGCGCTAACGTTATTCCTCCTAATAAACACACGTACAGCTCTGTCTCCTCATTATTCACCACCATCACTGTAATATTTTATCTGACGTGTTTTCATCAACATAACACATGAAGGTAATAAGAGGGGATGGTGGAGATCGTGTCTGCAGCATCTGGGCTTTTAAAAGTCACAAAAGTTAAGACAGCTCTGGTGTTGTTTTAAAGTTAGGACAGAATTTAGGAAATTTAGGATGTTTCTGTAATACTGTTTTCTTATCTGGAGTTCGGATAGGATTATGAACTTAAGAACTGTTGGTCTGTAATAGCTTTTGTCCTAAATTCAGTCCTAACTAAAGTTGTCATGGTGACTAAGCAGATAAGATTTCAGACTTGAGAAGTATCTGTAATATGGCCCCTGGTTAACAATGACAGCCATTGTAAAACTGTGGTCTACAAACCTTGGCTTATAAAGTAAATGAATCTGATAAATCTTTGCAGTTTAAGATGTGATTATGAAAAACTAATGTGGAATTAATTTGCACACAAACTCTTTCAACCACATACTCATTACACCACCTAGTGGCCACTACCAAGTATCCAACCCTTTAATTAAATTCCAGTGACGGCCAATGATGGTCGGTCTGATTTCTGAATCAGAGACTTAAATCTAACCCAGAAAACATCAAACCCTGAATATCTTCGGTTAAATGAAATCCACTTAAACCATTCACGTCAAACAACTAAATTTAATTTAATTAGACAAAAATGCCAAGACAAGAATGGACATCTATGAAGATCTAATAGTACTCATTTAAATATTTTTGATTACATATAATATTCACTTTTATTCACAATCAAATTTGTATTTTTCACAGTTTTCTTGAAAAGAATCAGTAGTCCCATGCGACCAAAAGACAAGATTTAATATGATAAGTGTTAAAAAATACCCTCATGTTTTAGCTTATATGGTTTGATCAATAAAACTAAAGGTTAAATTAGGGTTAGAACCAACATCTCTATGACGATAGTTAT